ACACAGTTTTAAAAAATTTGAATTTTAAATCTGATGAATGTAACTTTATCCTAGCAGATTCCTTATCTTGACTCTATAGAGTATTAAATATGAAACAAAAATAAGTTTGTCTTTTAAGAAAACCTCAATCACAAAGGTAAAGATCATGTTAGGAATGAAATTAAAATTTTAAACTAGACTTCAAATAAGAGGAGAAAAACCTTAGGGATCATTGTGCTTTGGTTCCAAGATTTTGAAAAAAAATCATTTTATTGGGGGCTCTTACAGCTCTTATCACAATCCATACATACATATCCATTGTACATACATTTGTACATATGTTGCCATAATCATTTTCAAAACACCTTTTCTACTTGAGCCTTTGATATCAGCTCCTTATATTTCCCCTTCCCTCCCTCTCTCCCTCCCTAACACTTGATAATGTATATGTATATATATATTTTTTTCATGTATTACATCCACCGCTGTCTCTTTACCCACTTTTCTGTTTTCTGTCACCCAGAAGGGGTCATATGTAGATCATTATGATAGGTTCCCTTTTTCTCCACTCACCTTCCCCTTAACCTACTGGTATCGCTACTCTCATTATTTGTACCAAGATTTCTTAATGAAACAAATATATGCCATCAAATGAATAAGTAAATTTAGACAGTTAAGGTCCAAGTATAGTAAACTATACTGATTACCTTATCATTAAACCATAAACATTGATTAGAATTTAGAATGTCTAAACTACCTATGCTTGATACCATAGATGTGTGGAATGTTATAAGAGCTGAAAGAGCCCCCAATAAAAATGATTTTTTTAAAAAGAAAATGATGATGGCAACATATGTACAAATATGCTTGATACAACTGACGTGTGGATTGTTGTTGTATGAGCTATAAGAGCCCCAGTAAAGTGATCTTTAAAACGAAAGAAAGCTTGTCTACACTAAAGGACACAAGTCACCAATTATAAAAATAGCACCTTACAGGGCTTCAAAAGTTGGTGGAAAACAGAATGGAAAGATAATGGGTTTTTCTATCCACTTTTTAAGGTCCTATGTACTAGAAAAGAGAAGATAAAAAACGTTTCTGTGCTAAGATTTTATAAGAATTTCCTGATCAAAAAGAAAAGATGACAATATTAAATAACATATGGATGGCGAAAAAGTGACTGCAAAATGGCTTAGTTCTCCAAGAAAACTAGAGTCTGAAAAAGCAAGAGTTTCTCTGTATGTGCACAAGAACATGTGTCATGAGTGCATGCATGAGTGTGTAAGAGACAAGCAGAAACAGCTAGAGCGCGACGAGGGACATCCAAAAGGCTCCCCACTTCCTACTTGCCCCAGTTCAGCCTAGGGATTAACTACCTCGCTGATAAGCAGGATGAACTCTACAGCAGCGGTTCTCAACCTGTGGGT